AGGAGTTGTTTGGGGTGTTCTAAAAAATTGAGAAAGAAAATATGGATGTTTGGGTTAACATTTTGACTTTTTATAAAAAAAAATGTGTAATAAAAAATTGTAAAAATTGATTTGTAGGAAAAAAATTAGGATTGGGAGTTGTGCAACCATAATTATTGACTTTTGGTGAATAGTGTTAACTTTTTAACTTTTTAAGTAACTTTTTAAGTAACTTTTTAACTTTTTAACTTTTTTACAATATGCCAAACTTGGCCTTAGTGACCACCAGAAGCCCTGTCATGACTTAGTGGAAGTGAAAGTCCAACATGCTGAAAGTGCTCAATGCCTATGGCATTCTCTGAATGGTCTGGGATAGCCGTTCCCTACCTCTGATTTTGTTAATATTGTACTGGATTCACCAAGCCCATGCACATCCCTAAATGCCCCGAATGCAATGCTCGCACAAGACAGATTGGTGGCTGGTCCCATACAGCCACAACCCTCATGTTTATAATCAGCTGGAATTGTCAGGGGCTAAGGCGACCCCTGACAATCCAGATCCTCCAAGGGTTATGAAAAACCCATCGCCCCAGCGTGGTTTTCTTAATGAAGACAAAGAATAAACGCTCTGTCCTGGAGCAGCTTCGCCGTAGTATGTGTTTCACCAATAGTGCCTATGTTGACCCAGTTAGGCTTGCGGGGAGGTTGGCTCTGTGGTGGACAACTGATGTAGACATTGATATTCGCTCCCGTAATCCGAATCTGTTGCGGTGTGTGTTATCACATCAAGGTATCACTTGGCTTGCCACCTTCATTTACACACCGCCCAGAAAGCAAATCCACAACATATTCTAGGACTCCATGAGATCTTTTGCCTCTGAGAATCAATATCCCTGGCTATGCATGGGTGATTTTAATGAGATAAGAGCTTCTTGGGAGAAAACTGGAGGAGTGGGTCCAAATGCTTGAAGAATTCTAGGCTTCCAACAATTGGCTTGCCACCTTCATCAAGGGTCACTGTTTTACATGGACAAACAACCAGTCGAGAAGGCATAATGTCAGGGAAAGAACTGACCGTGCAATGGCAATGGTGGAATGGCAGGAACTATTTCCTTATACACAGCTTATTCATGAACTCATCCTTGGTTCAGATCACTATCCACTTATCCTTAATACTTGTCCGCCTCTGAAATCTGTGCCTCGTCTATTTAAATTTGAATCAATGTAGACTACTTCTCTGAATTGTCTTGAGATTATTAGAACGAAATGGGATGAGGCAAGTTTGGGCTCTCCTATGTTCAATCTGTGTAAAAAATTGAGAGGGTGCAAATGGGTTTTGAAATCCTGGAGCCGAAGAGAATTCGGCGATAATCGCATCAAGTTATCTGAGCTCAAGACCAAGTTGTTGTAAGTTTTCTAAACAAAACTATATATTAGATTGAATTCTATTGAACAAAGAATACATACATCATTTATATAGAGTACCACTAATTCCTAATCCTACATGAATATATTACTGAGATATTTAGAAGTCTAATAGATATAGGACACTTATTCCTAATCCTAGGAGAACACATATTCCTAATCCTAGGAGAACACATATTCTCACACCCCCGCTCAAACTCAAGGTGTTTTAGTAGAAAACATTGAGAGTTTGTCAAGAAAGAACCGAAACCGAGCAGTGGTGTGAGTCTTAGTGAAGAAGTCAGCAAGTTGCAGAGTCGAAGAGTCAAAAGGAAGCGAGATAAAGCCAGACTGCAGATGCTGACGGACAAAGTGACAATCAATCTCAATATGTTTTGTCCGTTCATGGAAAACAGTGTTATGAGCAATTTGAATAGCACTTCGGTTGTCACAATAGAGAGAGGTCGGGGAAGATTGAGGGACGCCCAACTCAGATAAGAGATTACGAAGCCAAACAATTTCAGCAGTAGCATGAGCCAGAGCACGATACTCAGCTTCGGCAGTAGAACGGGCAACAACAGTCTGTTTCTTACTTTTCCAAGAAAGAAGGGAATCACCAAGAAACATACAGAAACCAGAAGTAGATTTACGATCATTAACATCACCAGCCTAATCAGCATCAGCATAAGCCACCAAGTCTAAGAAAGAAGTAGAAGAGAACAGCAAGCCCTGAAAGATAGTACTGCGAAGATAGCGAAGAGTCCGAAGCAAAGCAGCCCAATGTGTAGAGCGAGGGGCAGAAACAAACTGACTAATCACATGGACAGCATAGGCAAGATCAGGGCGAGTAACTGTCAGATAGACTAAACAACCCACAAGCTCGCGATATAACGTAGGATCATCTAGAGGAACCCCATCAGTAGTGTTGAGCTTTACATTAAGCTCAATGGGGGTATCAGACAGCTTAGTGTCAGTAAGTCTGGCACGATGGATAACCTCGTTAGCATACTTAGCTTGGGACAGAAAGTAACCCTTGGGAGAAGAAGTCGCCTCAATGCCAAGAAAATACCGCAGTGGTCCTAGATCCTTCATTTCGAAGGTGCGGAATAGATGCTGCTTGACCTCAGAGATAGCAGAAGAGTCAGAGCCAGTGATGATCATATCATCTACATATAGTAAGAGAGCAACAAAACCAGCCAAGGTATGTCTTAGAAATAAAGCAGAGTCGAAAGCAGAAAGATGAAACCCAAGCTCAGTAACAGCAGTCTGAAAGCGATCATACCAAGCACGAGGAGACTGCTTCAGACCATACAGAGCACGCCGAAGACGACAGACTTGGCCAGAGGAATAGTGAAGACCAGGGGGAGGACGCATGTAAACCTCCTCAGTGAGATGGCCATTAAGAAAAGCATTCTTAATATCCATCTGATAAAGAGGCCAAGAACGAATAGCAGCGACAGAAATCAAAGTACGGACAGTAGTCATCTTGGGAACAGGAGCAAATGTCTCCTCATAATCAATACCATACTCTTGGGAGAAACCTTTGGCCACCAGACGAGCTTTGTAGCTCTCAAGAGAACCATCAGAATGAGTCTTGACTTTGTAGACCCATTTGTAACCAACCAGGTTTTTATCAGCAGGTAAAGGAACCAACTCCCAAGTACTAGTTTTCTGTAGAGCAAACAACTCATCCTCCATAGCTTGAACCCAATGAGGATCCTGACAGGCCTCCTTGTAAGACTGAGGTTCTGCAAAAGAGTGAATAGCAGACAAAAAGGTACGATAGAAAGCAGAAAAACAAGTATTGGACCAACCCAACCTTTTTGGAGGATGACGCGCTCGAGGAGGATATCGGTGTGCAGTAGGATCAGAGTCGTCAGAAGCAGGAGGATCAACAGCAGGGGTAGAGACAACTGGTAGAGGAGGAGCCTTGCGATGAGAATAAACTAACAACGGAGGAGAAGAATGAGGAGAAGGCGAAGAAGGAGAAGTAGTCAGAGGTGAAGCAAGAGGAGAAGATGGAATAAGCTCAGGAGGAACTGTGGAGATGTGCTCATCAAATGGGACCTCAGAAGGAAATGGATCAATATGAACCAAATCCTCTTTGGAAACTGGGGCGGTGAGAGGAGGAAGCTGAAAGTAAGATAGACGTTCGAGAAAGGCAACATGGCGGGAGACATAAAGGCGACGAGAAACAGGATCATAACAGCGATAACCTTTCTGAGTGAGACTATATCCCAAAAAAACACATAGGACAGACCAGGCACTAAGTTTAGTCCTATCTTTACGGGGTAAAAGGACAAAACACGCAGACCCAAACACACGAAGGAGGGAGTAATTAGGAAGTTGAGAAAAGAGAGCCTCATAAGGAGACCAACCAGAAAGAAGGGGGTAGGCATACGGTTGAGAAGAAAAGCAGCAGTAAGAACTGTCTCATCCCAAAACGAAGCTGGAACGGAGGCAGAGAGAAGAAGAGACCTAGCTGTCTCAAGAAGATGACGGTGTTTACGCTCAACTCGGCCATTTTGGACAGGTGTATCAGTACAAGAAGTTTGGTGAATGGTACCCAAGTTGGCCAAATATTCACAGAATTCAATTTTAAAGTATTCCCCACCCAAGTCAGACCGCAACATTTTAATAGTAGATCCAAACTGTGTAATGACCATGGACTGGAAAGTACGATATATCTGGTGGAAGTCAGACTTATGAGTCATAAGATAAACCCACGTGTAACGGGTGCAATCATCAACAAAAGACACATAGTATACTTTAGTAAGAACAGGAGAGGGTCCCCAGACATCAGTATGCACAAGAGAGAAAGGAGAAACAGAAATAGATGTACTTTTATTAAAAGGTAAAGCTGACATTTTGGCAAGTTTACACCCCCAACATTCATCAATTTGACTAGGAGAAACTTTACCCAACAATCCTGACTGAGCTAAAGACCGTAAGCGGCCAACAGACAAATGACCGAGACGAGAATGCCATAAGTAAAACTGACTCGACTGAGAATCTAATTGAAACGAGGAAAGTGCAGTTGGAGAGGTGGATAAGGGGAGATGCAAGCTTTGAACCACATAGAGATCTCCAATTCTACGGCCGGTCCCAATCTGCTTCTTGGACACCCGATCCTGCACACAACAGACAGAAGAGGAAAAGATAACATCAAAACCAGACGCATCAAGTTGACTGATAGATAACAAACTGACAGATAACTGAGGAACATAAAAAACAGAAGGAATAGTAACAGCAGACATGGCAAAGGGTAAGACAGACCCAACAGATAAAACAGACATACCAGATCCATTAGCAGTATTAATAGTAATAGGAACGGGTGGGGGAATACAATTTTGAAGTAAGGAAAGGTGAGGAGTCATATGATGAGAGGTACCAGAATCAAAAATCCAAACAAAAGAAGGAATACCTGAAGAGGACCCAAGCAAACCTGAATGAAGAGAGGTAAGAGCGGAGGCAGATGGGGATGACTGAGAGGTGGACAGAATATGCTGAAGTTGTGCAACCTGAGCACTCAGGGAAGCCAAGTCAGGATTGGGAGCCGGAGTAGATGCAGTGTAAGCAGCAGGAGGTCGGAAAGTACTCGAAGTAGAACCGCGGAACTATATCTGAGAAGATGGAGCAGGCTGACGTCCCTTTTTGGGACAATTGTTCTTCCGATGACTCTTCTGATGACAGAAAGCACACTCATCTGGCCCTAATGGTCCTCTCTTGGGTTTCGTAGTGGCTTGAAGTTGATGAGGAGGAGGGGTTGATAACAAGGGTGGCTTGGCAGGAGCTAAGAACACAGAAGGAGGCAAAGTCTGATTGGCCGTCTTAAGACGGGTTTCCTCGGAGAGAAGTTCACGATCAATAGCATCTACAGAGGGAAGAGGAGATCGGTGAAGGATGCCACCTCGAATAGCCTCATACTGAGGGGAGAGAGCTGTTAAGAACTGGACTAAACGACCCTGTTCCCGAAACTCAATATAAGCGTCTAGTATCTTGAGACTAGGTGGTTCCATAAGAGCCAACTGATCCCAGAGACCTGTCATCTCAATATAAAAGTCCTGAATAGTTTGATCCCGCTGACGAGCATCCTGAATAGTTGTTTCCAACTCATACCGCTTGGCAAAATTGGACTGCTGATAAACACCGAGTAAATAATCCCACACTTCCTTGGCAGTACTGTACTTGGAAAACATCATTCCAATACGGTCATCCACAGAGTTATGAAACCAGGTAAGAAGTTGGGCATTATCACAATCCCAAGTGTCACAGGAAGACAGATACCCTTCTACCTTTGGGTCCGATGGACGAGGAGCAGAACCAGAAACATAGCCCCATTTTTTTTGACCAAGAAGAAAATTCTTCATAACACTGGCCCAATATGCATAATTGCCACCAGTGAGTTTACATTTAATGGCTTGAATTTTAGGGTCCATTATAAAGCAAAGTTGTAGAATAAACAGACAAATATGGGGCTTGAGTGCAATATTCCTGAAAAAAGGGTCTTAAATAGAAATAGTCAAGTTGAAGCACAGAGATCAACAACAACAACAATTATACAATGACAGAATCTACGGAACAGACCGGATACAATAATCAAATGGGAAAAGACCGGGGTCGCTATACTGAAGCTGAGATCGATCTTCAGACGGAGCTCGCGAAGATCTCAGACAGAGATCGCGAAGCACAGAGGCAGACGAACCAAATTAACCAAAGAGCCAAAGTAGATGGCTGCGAATCGATTCAAACAGAGATCGCGAGGAAGAAAGAGGCCTTCGTGAGACGAACCAGAGAGGGCTAGGGTTTCGAACCCTCGCGAGTCTGGAGAGAGAAAAGTCGCAACTCCGATGGTGACAAACCAGTCGAACCAGAGAGGGCTAGGGTTTTGAACCTAGCTCTGATACCATGTAAGTTTTCTAAACAAAACTGTATATTAGATTGAATTCTATTGAACAAAGAATACATACATCATTTATATAGAGTACCACTAATTCCTAATCCTACATGAATACATTACTGAGATATATAGAAGTCTAATAGATATAGGACACTTATTCCTAATCCTAGGAGAACACATATTCCTAATCCTAGGAGAACAGATATTCTCACAGTTTTCTCATCTTCAAGCTCTTGACTGGTCCGAAGAAAATGTTGCTGCCCAAAAAGAGAAAGATGAAATTTCGAGGGTGCTAATCCGTGAGGAGATGTTTTTCCACCAGCGATCTCAGGTTAACTAGTTATAGTCAGGTGACCAGAATTCTGCCTTTTTTCATGTCTTCTCAATCTAGCGTCGTCAACAAAACCAGCTAGTTGAATTGCAAAATGAGGAGGGACAATGGTTATCAACTGACAATGAGATCAATTCACACCTCCATGATTATTTTTCTTGTGTTTTTACAAGTATGCCTTCTCGATCTTTCATCTCAGCTCTGTCGTCCGTTCAGAGGGTTATTTCGGTGGAGATGAATGAGTCATTGACTCACCCGATGTCCAATGCAGAAATTAGAGCTACTGCCCTTCAATTGGGACCTTTGAAATCACTTGGACCTGATGGTTTCTCTGGTATTTTTTTCCAAACTTATTGGGAGGTGGTGGGTGATGATGTTTGCTTAGCGGTTCACAGTTTTTTTTTCAAATGGGCATATATTGAGGGAACTGAACTACACTAATTTGGTCCTTATTTCCAAATTTCCTAATCCAAAAAAGCTCACACAATTTCGGCCTATTAGCTTGTGTAACTTCACCCTCAAAATCATTACCAAAATTTTGGCCAATCGTTTGAAACCAATCTTGAAACAAGTGATCTCCCCGCAACAATCTGCGTTTGTGCCAGAGCATTTGATCCAAGAAAACATTTTAGTAGCTCATGAAGCCTTCCACCATCTAAAGCTGAAGAAGAGAGGCTCCAGGCATGAGATGGCAATCAAGCTAGACTTCAATAAGGCTTATGATCGCATCCAATGGGATTTTTTAGAGGCTCTTCTTATTAAAATGAGGTTTAGCTCGATTTGGGTTTAGTGGATTATGGAAGTGGTGAGTACTATGTCTTTCTCGATTTTTGCTAATGGGGAAAACAGAGCTGCCTTTATTCCCCAAAAAGGTCTTCGTCAGGGAGATCCACTCTCACCCTACCTTTTAACCTTGGTTGTTGATGTCCTTTCCAGAACGATTTCAGCGAGTATTTTTGCTAATAGATTACATGGCATCAGGTTGAAAAGAGGTTGTCCTATTTTATCCCATTTACTCTTTGTTGATGATGTTCTTCTGTTCTCTACTGCAAATACGGCTCAATGTCAACATCTGAAGGCACGTTTGGAGGAGTTTTGCCTTGCCTCTGGCCAATTGATAAACTGGGAGAAGTCTAGCATTCATTTCTCATCCAACACACCCATTCCAGTCCAACATGAGATATGTTCGCTTGTGGGCATTTCTTCCATGATGCATGACTCCAAGTATCTAGGCCTTTCTTCCTTTTGGGGCCGATTGAAAACGGAAGCATATGGGTATTTGATTGAACGGGTAGTTCAAAAGATGCAAGGCTGGAAACAACACCTCTTATCACCAGTGGGTCGTGAAACCCTCCTTAAATCGATGGTGCAAGCAATTCCCGCCTATGCTATGGCCTGCTTCGTCTTTCCTAAAAAATTCTACGATCAACTTAACGCTTTCATGAGCAACTTATAGTGGGGAGAAAATCCGGATGGCAGATGTATTCACTGAGTAAAATGGAGCAGCCTCTCAGTTGCAAAATCACAGGGTGGGATGGGCTTTCATGACTTCAAAGCCTTTAACCTTGCTCTTCTAGCCCGTCAAGCTTGGAGGATTTTGAAGTTCCCTACTCCTACCGTTCAAGAATGTTAAAAGGTATTTATTTCCCTCATACAGAGTTCATGAAGGCGCAAAAGGAGAGGAAAGCGTCTTGGGCCTAGGCTAGCATACTCCAAGGCAGAAATTTACTCGAGAAAGGTGTTCGGTGGCAAGTTGGCAATGGGGAATCAATCCACTTCTGGGAGGATAAGTGGGTACCTAACACTCCAGATTTCACAGTCCAGCACTCTCGACCTCCAGATTTCCCAATTTCTTGTGTTTTAGATGTTATTACTCTTAACAGCAAAGATTGGGATATTAACAAATTGAGGAGTGTGGTTAGTGCAGATGCGGTAGATAGTATTCGGTAAATTCCCATTTCATGCGAAGATAAAGCAGATGAGGTTGTCTGGCATTTTACCCCGAAGGGTGACTATGAGGTTCGAAGTGGATACCACGTTGCCATTAAAGACACCTTGCAACATGATCCTTCGTCAGTGGCCTCCTCATCCTTTCCCCCTCGGCGAGCATATGGAAGTTAATCTAGTCCCTTAAAGTCCCTCCCAAAATTTGTCATTTTTAGTGGCAGGTGTGCAAAAACAGGTTGGCCTCTAAGGAAAATCTATTCTGCTGTAGATGTGCTCCATCTAGTCAATGCCCAGCTTGTGACTGCCCGGTTGAAACTATTGAGCATCTTCTATTCTATTGCCCTTGGACTAGATCGGTTTGGTTCGGCAGTGAGTTAGGCATAAGGGTTGATTTGTCTGAGTGCAACTCTGTGGCTGAATGGGCCAATTCTCTCATGGATATGTGCTCCAATAAAGCAGAACAGTTAGAGGTTATTGGGAGAGTGGCGATGGTGGGTTGGTATATTTGGAAATCTCGCAATGATTGGGTGTTTAATCACAATCCTCTAAACCCCACGGCAACTCTGCAACAAGCTAAGGCTGCTTTGAGAGAATTATTTGTTCTAAATCAAAATGATGCCCAACAACCAAGCGAAGTAGTGACAGAGTCTCCTATCTGCAGATGGAGCCCCCCGATTTCAGGCCAATTTAAACTTAACTGCGATGCCAGTTTTTCCCAAGATGGGTCGAAGGCATCCTTGGCTGTTGTTCTGCGAAATTGGGAAGGAAAGCTGATAGATGGCAGAACCTCTATCATTCATGTTTCGTCAACCATGTAAGGAGAAACCCGAGCGGTTCGAATGGCATGTGTCTTTTCTCACACCCTCAACCTCAGGCAAGTCCATGTGGAAGGAGATAACAAATCTGTCATCAATTTAAGCACCAAGGATCCTCTAGAGTGAAATTTTCCTAAAGTTTCCTAGAGTGTTACATTGTGTTGTTGAGATTTACTAGCAAGTCACATCAGAAAAATTGATGTGACTTGTCAGTAAATCTCAACCACACAATATAGCACTCTAGGAAACTTTAGGAAAAAATTACTCTAGAGGATCCTTGCTCCAATTTAAGTGTATCCGAACTGGTGCCTCCCTGGGATTGCCAAGCCATTATCCATGACATTCGACTTGCGCGGTCCCGAGGGAATATCTCTTTCAGCTGATCGTCTAGAAACACCAACCGAGTGGCCCACTGGGTAGCCTCTTGCCATTTGAAAGGGAAGCTTCTGCTCGACTGGGTTGTCCATCCCCCTCTAGAGCTTAGGTCTATCCTTTCTTTGGATTTGTTGTAAGCCGTCTGGCGTTTTCTTGTTCAAAAAAAAAAAAACTATGATTTATTTACATTTTATCTTATAAATTTTAAAACTCAATAGTTAACCCTCTCAAAGTATTATCTTCGTATAATTAACCATTTTTGTTAGAATTATGATATAAATTTACATAAAATTAAATCTTGTGCAAAACACATGACACATTTATCAAATTTTTATGATAATAATATCCGTTAATAATTGTTTTAAGATAATAATATTATTATCTAGTGATTTTATTTGCATTTTTCCTCTCTTACCTTAGCGGCAAAGTACAAACGGAATTACTATATAATGACATTATTTTTTTAAAAATATATTTTACATATGATCTGATTTTTTTATAATTTTTTAATAGACTCTTAAAAAAAAGAATTGACTGTAATAAGATAATAATTTGAAAGGATATACTGTTGAGTTTTTTATTCTTAAAATGATAAAATATAAATAGATCATAATTTAAAAAAATTTAATGTAATTTACATAAAATAATATTCAGTGTGTTTGATTTTAATTTTTTGAATTCAATTTTTTAGAAATTGAGTTTTTTGCTTTTTATTTTTCGTATTTTTTTTTTATTTTTAGTGAATATTTTTAAAATTTTAAGAAATATTTTTTACTTTTTTAGATGCACCTTACTTAGATATATCTAAATAGTAAAATATTTATAAAAATATAAATAGATCATAATTTAAAAAAATTTAATGTAATTTACATGAAATAATATTCAGTGTGTTTGATTTTAATTTTTTGAATTCAATTTTTTGGAAATTGAGTTTTTTGCTTTTTATTTTTCGTATTTTTTTTATTTTTAGTGAATATTTTTAAAATTTTAAGAAATATTTTTTACTTTTTTAGATGCACCTTACTTAGATATATCTAAATAGTAAAATATTTATAAAAAATATTTTAAAAA